ATTTGTATAATAGAGTTGTTAGAGTATAGTATATATTGATAGCTAGGTATAAATTGAGAAGTCATTACGTCTATAATAATAATATAGACAAACTTTCAACTGATTTGTGTTATGAACACTGTTGCAGGTGACTCTTCGCTGTCATAGCTTCGAAAGGAGTTCAAAATTTTCTAACATGGAATGACGACAGTAACCTTTCATCGACATTGGGCCTACATATTGTCACATGGCTCTCAAGCAGTCAAATATCTTTGGCCCGCAGGGCTTTCGCGAGTGCTGGGGCGACTACCGTGCTGAAGCGGATTTGGAGGACCCGTCATGCTCTCTATACCGTTTCCAGCGTGATTTGCCGCGCTTACCTGTGCCATTGTTGAAAGAAAGCATTGAACTCTACCTGGAAACTCTTAGACCGCTGACGTCGCCCGCCGAGTTCGCGCGCGCCAAAGAGCTAGCTATTGAATTTTTGAGACCCAGTGGTATAGGCGAGAAGCTGCAGAGTCGTTTGCTAGCCCGTGCCAAGGACCGTAATGACTCCAGCTATTTAGCAGAGTGGTGGAATACGCTTGGCTATCTACAAGTGCGCGATCCCGTTGTGTTTAATGTCAGTTACTTCATTCACTTTGCAGACAGCGTGCACCCGAAGCAACGCTCTAACATCGGACGTGCAGCGGCGCTGCTGAGAGGTTCCGTGCTCTTTGCTGCCCAAGTGGCGAACGGTTCCATTGAGCCCGAGCAGCTTGGCAAGAACAAGACACCATTATGTGCCACTGCTTATAAGTACATGTTTAATGCTTGTCGCATTCCACGCCGTAAGCAAGACTCATACAGGATTTACGATCCCATGTTACACACTCACGCTGTTGTCATGCGCCACAACAATTTTTTTCTTCTTGAGTTACTGGATCCGCGTACGAAAGATCCGCTCGGATTTGAAGCTTTATGCTTTCAGCTGGCTAGGATTTTGGACGCTGCCGGAGCGAAGGGGTCAGCTATCGGAGTATTGACGTCTCAGGATCGAGATTTATGGGCAGACGCCCGTGAAGAATTGATTCAAGCGTCGCCATTGAATCAAAAATCATTGCATGCTATTGAAAGCTCATTGCTGGTGCTAAATTTGGACGATGATGCTCCAGTGTCTCGGACGGAAGTAGCACGCGGACTGTGGCATGGCAATGGTCGCAACCGTTTCTTTGACAAATGTGTGCAGATTGTGGTGTTTGAGAATGGTAAGGCTGGTCTGCTTGGGGAACATTCAATGCTTGATGGCATGCCCATGGCTCGGTTTTGCGACTATCTGTTATCGCGTCTTCACAAAGGCCAAATTGATCTAGGCCCTCGAGGGCAAACGACGCAGCAGCTTTTGCACTCGCTTGTTGCTCCAAAGCAGCTTATGTTTCGCTTCACATCGAAGACGCTGTACAACATTGCCGAGGCCGAAAAGGTGTTTGATCAAACTGTGATCGACCACGAAGTATTTGTACAGACCTTCTATGGCTACGGTGCACGCTCTATCAAGGGATTCCGCTGCAGTCCAGATGCGTTTGTGCAGTTAGCGATTCAGCTTGCTTACAAAAAGCTATTTAGGAAGAATGTCGCCACGTACGAAGCTTCGCAGACGCGCACCTTTCTTCATGGACGTACTGAAACGACCCGCAGCTGCTCGGCGGCTAGTGCCAAGTTCACTGATGCAATGACGGATGCGTCTGGCACAATTACTGTTGATGAAAAAAGAAAATTGCTTCTTGCTGCTGCTAGCGCCCATGTCGCATATATGCGCAAGGCTGGTGCCGGCCGAGGAGTGGATCGACACTTTCTTGGATTGAAGCTGTTAGTGCAACCTGGCGAGCGTGTGCCGTTTTTTGAGGATCCAGTAATGACTAGAGCTAGTCACTGGCTAATTTCCACGAGCCATTTGACAAATGAATTGTTTGATGGCTGGGGATGGGGTGAGGTCGTACCTGAAGGTGTCGGCATCGCTTATAGCGTTAAAGATCTTTCCATCCAGTTTAATATCGCCTGCCGTCAACATGGCGGCTGGGCAGCTCGTCTAGGTCATTTGCTCGAAGAGAGCCTCTTTGAGATGCAGCAGCTGTTTGCGAAATCCACTGACATTGGTGCCAAATTGTAGATTGCAGTCGGAGTAGCAAGGTGCTTTATGATAAAAAGTGAGATATTGATGCAGCTTTATCTCGTCAGAACGGAAGAACGATGCGAAGGTCATCAAATTTGTAAGGCTCAGCTGAACTTCATCTCAGCTTATCAAACATCTAAACAAGACACGACAAGAAAAAAATATTTGAGCTTAATGATCAACACTTCAGACATTACGCGTTTATTTACGGAATTCACTAATTTCTTCATGAAAATGATCAAGTGCAACCAGCATGAGCGCATATGGGATATTTCGCTTAAAAACCGCAGAACGGATGAACGGTATCCCCGCGGCGACCATGGAAAATCCTGCACTGGTCAAATTATCCTTCCGCTGCGTCGCCACAGCGGTCTTGATGCCGCAGTACAGAAAAAAGAATCTACCGAGTATATCAGTAAGAACCAATGACCCTTACTAATGACTTAAGCTCACCCAGAGAAGGCTCCTCCTGTCGTGGCAGCTCCACGTGCGACTGAGCTTAAAGCATCAGACGATAAACGCCCTTGCTTTTTCATGTAAATTCTAGCACCATCAACTGCACCATAATAGCAATAAGGAAACAGTGTATTAATTGGTTATCTACAAGGACCATTCGCTGTACGTACTGCCTCCAAAAGTGGCACCTGTGACAAAGCCAACCAAACTGCCGAATATGAGACGGTTGCGCAAATTCTGCAGGGCTACGGGTTCAACCAGAGCGCTTAATCCTTTATTGTACTCATCACTACAAGCTTTTGGATTCTCGGTCGACTCGATTGCTTCAGTCGGACGCTTAGGCGTGATAGGATCCTCGAAGGACGACCAGTTCTGCGAGTCACTCATTTTTTTTTACTTTTGCAATATATAGAACAATTTTGTAGAGGTCATTGCAAATCAAGACATAAGTTCATATAATCGATCTCATGACAAGTCCGGAATTCGCGTCTCCTTCCTGTACATCGTCTACGTCTCCTCCTACCGATCTACAAGTCCCATCCCATCCTTGCACAGAGCAACATTAAATGTCAACACATTGCAACCAGCTCTTCAAACTTGGCAGCCCCACGAAGGAGAGTATGCTCCACCGCCATACAATCCTCAACGCCATTCGTCAATCTTGCACCATCCCCGCGGTTACAATTTGGTACGATCATGTCTTTTGGTCGGTCAAATTGTGCGCATGCTGCTTTTTAATGTGTGCAGTGCCGTGCTAAGCATGACGGCAGCTCTAGCAGTATGGACTGGGACAATTTGTGCCGTTGTGGCGATGCCTTTTTGTGGCTATGAGAATTTAACTTTCAGCGGGCTTTTGCGCATTGTCTTCTACTTATGTTGTACCGATGCTCTTATTTATAACGCATCGGCAGCAGATTGCATTGATTTTGACGTGGTAGAGCCATGAAACACAACCCTTGTTGCCCATTCGATTAGCGCCGCCGATTGGAGAAAGGAGTGGGCGCATGCTTGAACCCTGTCGATTTGAGAGGAGCTTAGGCTCTGCATCGTCCGAATCGGTGGGTACTTTGGGTGTATAAAAGTGGTTGTCGGAGCGGTACAAGCGATTGTAGTTCTAGCAGTGCTGGTTGCTCTCGGTCTTTTGATTGAAGACGAGCGAAAGCCGGTCTATCTTCATGCACTTACAGTGCAACATCCTTTCGTTGTATACACGACGTCTTGGTATTTCTGCTGGTAGCGCTGGTAATGCTGCATGGGATAACAAGAGTGTTGAAAGTAGTCACGCGATTCTATTGTTGCGAAAGGTGTTGAGTTTCGCTGCGTTGGGACCAGACAGTCGAGACTAACGGGCACACTAAGCGACAATTGAAAGAGAGATAAAGACTGGAGGTTGTCATGCTGTTGATCAAGTTTCAGTCACGAATGAAGTCGATTTGCGCGTAGTGCAACAAGGTTCGGTTGACTCGCCGCGTGTTTAAGCTATTTAGCTGAAGGCGCTATATTTGCTTTCAGTGTCTGTCTGCGACGTGCTCAAAAGCTTTCAAGATTTGCAAAAAAGAAAACTCTATAAAACAAGTTGAGTTTAGTAGCTGCATAGTACATGACTTGGTTTCGTAATGCTAGCGCGGATTGTGCTAGCTGCATGAAGAAGATCAAAAAGGACCTGAAAATTGCACCTTGTGGCCACAAATATTGCCTGCCATGTATTGTTCACATGTGTCGTCTTGCGCTGGATGACCGTGCACTTGTGCCATTGCGTTGTTGCAAGAAGGAGCTGCCCAATGATTACGTACGTGAAGCATTAGTCAAGCATGAAGACTACACCAAGTATGAACAGCTTATGAATGAGAAAGATTGGAAGGTATCGGATCTCACATCCGACGTTGAATACTCGGCAATTGTTGAGGCCATGGGAGCTAAGCAATGTCCTGGCTGTGGTATTGGTGTACAGCGTGATTTTGGATGCGTGCACATGACGTGTCCCAATGGACACCAGTTTTGCTACACGTGTCTGGGCCTATGGGGCTCTTGCAATTGTCCATTGATCCCAGAGGATGAGCTACGAACTATTCTTGGAGAGTGATGTCCGATTCTTGTCTGTTGAGTATCGAATAATTTTACGTCCACTTCTGTGCTTTGTTCGAAGTTGTACTCTTAATCACTTACGATGTGCCCCGTCATAACAGTATGCAAAAACTTGTTATTCATCACTTTGCACTTCATTCTACGATGCCTTCCTAACTTGTCTGTGTGATCACTTTATTTGGTTAGCAATACTCTGTGAGATATTTGTGCCGATTAGCGCTAGTGTGCTGTTGTATATAATCACATCCTAGAGTCATTAAAATTTGAAGGTGGTTTTTGTTACTCGTTCTTTTCCACCTTATGGTCAACTATATCCGCGGCGCTGAAAGCAGAATTGAACTGAGATGGTATAGTGCGTGTACAGCATCTTTTGTCAATCTTGACTGGAGACTGGCATCATTTTGTTATGAAATTAGAGTATCACAGCATACTAGATTTGAGTACATGGAATTTACAATGTACGAAAAATATTTCAGAGCTAATAAGGCATGGTCGCGAACAATCAGACCCATTTTTATTCAGGAGGTCCACTACATTCACATTTGCTTGCAAATTATCTTTGCAATAGTTTATCGATTGAGTTTGGGAAAGGCCGCAAATTAACGGCGACGAAAATAACGTCATTTTTCGTGGAGATGTCCAATGTTTTTTGATATTCAACATCATGGACTCACACCTCAAAAGTGTCAAGACCATGGAAGTTCTTCTGGGACAATACAAAGACATAATTTACCTCAATTCTGGTCTGCTTGATTTTGTCAATGAAATCGTTGTTGATGAGGCCAACATCCAGCCGAGCGAAGCTTATGTGTTTGACGTATTTCTGGAGGAGATTCGAAATGCTGAACAAATTGTTTTGGATCGATCCGTCGCGTTGAGTATATATTCAGAAGAGGAATACAAGCTTTTTTATCCTGCCGACACTGAATCTGTGGATCGCAATGAGGGTAGTTCGTTTGCATCGGCACCAGATGTGAATAGGCTTAATGCTGAATTGAAGCCGCCTCCGAGCTGCATGTGTTGTTTGTCACCCCTTAAAAATAAGTCCAATCGACGAGTTTTATCGTGTGGCCATGTGTACTGCACAACTTGTATCACTACACGTTGTCGTATGGGTGTCAGTGATCGCTCAATGGTCCCAGCACATTGTTGTAGAAGGGAATTTCCAACTGACTATGTGAAAGAGGCGTTAGGATTCCAGTTTGAGATCTATGAGCGATTTCTTAAAGACAAAAGCTGGCGATCATTAGATCTGCAATCGGACCACGAATACGCCAATGTAATTCGAGAGGTTTCTGGTGTGCAATGCCCTGGATGCGGTGTGGGAGTGCAAAAAGTATCAGGATGCAATCATATTACATGCTTGTATGGCCACGAGTTCTGCTATTCATGTTGCATGAAGTGGAAGACTTGTGGCTGTGAAACTTAAGGGTTCGTTGGGAAAGTAATTTTGAAGCATTTTGACGGAGTAACGACTAGTTTCTCCTAATGACGTGAGCTCGGGTATTTTATTTTTTACGAGTGAGCCTTTCAGCTTAATACATAAGCTCGGCAAATATCAAGTTCTTTTTGACCACCGTGAGATTTCTTACCTGCGCGCTAGCATTTCTTCCGTTTGTAGACTTGAAACTGAACGGCATTACAGTAGATCTTGAAAATGCACGCGAGGACTTTTAATCGTCTGAGCTTTTCTTACTTCTGGAGAACGATAATTATTTTTATCACGCTCTGAAATTCAACGCTGTTGCGTGTTCGACAATATTTTATTGCCCGTATACTTTTGTTATAGGGCAGCCTTGGGCCATCATTTTTTAACTCTTGAACATGAATGCCAGTGATCAAATTGTTTTTCACTCTGATAAATGATATGAAATGAACGTAACCCTCGAATTTGCTCACAAAGTGCAACGAACATGATTTTATGCGTGATGTATACTCACAGCAGCGAGGTGATTGATTCTTATCCTAGCACCTGCATCTCAAGCACAGATGGGCAAGCGCATTGATAGTCTTGGACCTTGGCATCAACGCACGTCATCTCCGTCATCATCCACATGTCGTTTCTCACCAGGTATGTATATTTTTTCATCAGGTTTGGCTTCAGATACCAAATATCGGTGTCCGAAGACTGCAGACAATAACGCACATCAAATTATTATTACTTTTTGAGGGGGCACCGCGTCGAACAAACAAATAGAATGCATTTTGGAGATTGTTGAGATTGACGATCGGAAAATGCGACATTCTCAAGATTACTTACTCAATCGGACTTTTGTGAGTTTAAGCTTTCCTACTCCATGCTGGCTTGCCAGTTTAGTAGCTTTGTTTCCAGCATGATGTATGTATCAGCCGCAGTTTGTCGCACAATCAAGACTATCATGAAGAAATGTCATCTGAGCGCTTTATAAGTGATTCCCATCATGAGTGCTTACCTGTTGAAATTGTTCGATAGTACTGGATTGTCTGCATTAGAAAAGCAATTATCGCGTTTCAAATGAGTTTTTTTGTCTGCGTGCACGCATATTCGCTGTCGCTATCAAGAACAATTGTTCAGATACCAAAAATATAATCACTCGCTAAAAGAAAATACATCTGAATTCATCCGACCCATATTATTCGGATCGATGCTGGACTTGATACCAGCAAACGCCGCTGAAATCATTTAACAGATTCACCTATTTTAACCAAATTGTTTGTTCAAGTGATCGTTAGGAATAAAAAATTGTGCCAGCATCGTGGCCAAACGTAAGCCACGTGAAAATTCTGCTCAGGTAAACATGAGATCTCACGCAAAGAAAGCATTCAAACATTTGCGTTGAATGTTTAGTATTCAATACCACGATACTGGTGACTCACCGATAAGGAACAAGTCGATTACATCTTAAAACGGAACCAAATTCTACTAGTTGTGTACATGTTTGGCTGGGGACTTGTGCTTATTCAGGTGAATTGTAGGCCGACTGTTATCTGTCTATTCTAGACTGCAGTAAAGGCGCTTCCCAGGGCGGGCTGTAGCCACACCATTTGTACCGACAAGCATGTTTAAGCGGCTGTCAATGCGCAGCTTTTGGAATGATGTGTAGATCATTTCATTTACTCAGGAGTTGCCTCGCCAAAAATCGAAGTTAAAGATAGGTTCTTTTGTACTTGAAACATTAACGCAGAGACAGAGACTCTATTCCAAGAGACTCCGATCACGCACATCTTGCCTAATTGCGATGACGAAGCTCCTTGTATTGCCAATGGCTCTAGTGATTATTGTCACACTCTCGCTCCAACGAAATCTCACGGTATGGCAACCCATGGAACTTGACCAAATACTCAGGATATCGATGGAAAACACGATTTTTGATCTGAGGGTCGGTGACATCAGTGAGTCACCGTTGTTTTCGAAAATCACGGGAGTCGATTTGGTATCACACGCTCCGCAAAGCGCTCCGGGTTGCTGTCGTACACTTTAACTTGTCAAGGTTGAAGCGTGAGCTGAGGTATCTGCATTTAGCTGGCAGGTTTAGCATGCGCAACTTGCCTTGAAGCTCACATGTTGTGTATGGACCAATAATGCGCGGGATGGATGTATGAGAACACAGCATTGCGTCAGCTGTCGCGTAGAGATGGTCAAGGCTTGCGCCGAAATAAGGCAAGGTCACCGACCTGGATGAATTTGCTAAGCGACGCTTGTTGTTTAATCTTCAAAGCGTTTTGCGCACGCTCGATCACTGGTTGGTGGTGCTGAACACATTTATCATAATTGCTTCCAACCGTAGCTAAAAAAATTTCGGTTCTGACAAATGTCCACGAAAATGGCGATAGTTTGGATGAAGTTCACACAAGAGTTACATACGCACACTCTACCATAGAAATATACTCAGTTCTGTCGTTGCTGCGATAACTGATAGATAATCAGCGATGATATTTCAAGTTTGATATTTTCCAGTCTCGCCGTCTGCTTGAGCACGATGCGCAGTCATTGCAGACTCGATCCTCGTCAAGCCGACGAGAGCGTTCTAAAACTTTGACGTGAACTTGGGGTCGTGATCCGATACGAAATCAGTCGGAATACCATAGTATCGAATCTTATGGTTGAAAGATACTTTGGCTTCATTCTCTGGCGTAGCCGTAGTGTGCGGTGGAATGAAGACCAGGCGCTTAGACAGTTTGTCAGCAGCAATAATAATCGTATCATACCCGTCTGACTCATATGAGGGCTGATAAAGTCAGTCGAGACGTCTTCCCATTACGTAGTTGGCACGATATTGGCTGTACAACTACTTGACTTGTATTCCACGTACAATTTACAGCTTTTCTCGTATGCATTAATGTCGTGGTACATTGTCAAGCAAAAAGACCACTGTGCTGCTGCTGTCAAATCCTGGATGCGTCATACTAGCTGCATCATGACAGTGTTTAAGCACAAATGTCGATGGTTCGGCATGGTCACGCAACGAGCGTTACCGTCGCTTTTCAGATAGATGAGTCCTTTGTGTACATCGTAGTCAGTAGTCGCAAACTTCGTCTTTCATACCTAGTTGTCAGCTGGATAGCTTTCTTTTAGGCTATCTTCGTTTCTAGGTCCAGCCAAATGAAGCTTTGATTGTCAGGTCTTTTTGGAAATGGATGCTTGACCTCGTCAATGCCAGACATGTCTCGGTCTTGCATATGACAATGCGAAACTGGCCGCGTAATCCTCAAGAGACCAGAAGTTGTTCTGCTGTCGACCGCGGAGCTGATCTATTAGGGTAAGCTCGCTAATCAATAAATTACGTCACGGACTGCAAGTAGTTGCAATTTTTGCGAAACAGACACCCAATAGCAAGCTGCTGTAGGGTCTTTTAAATCTGCAATTGGAGCGATGGCGGTCGTTGCTGCGGAGCATCTTCTTCATACTTAATGTTCTTGGACTGAATGTACATTCTGGCGCTGAAAATCATTTTTCCGACATTGTGACTCTTCATCTCAGCGACTTTCACCATGGCGATACGTTCAGCTTGATACTCTCGCATGTCAGAGGTTGATAATGCGCTAGTTTGCTGTTGTTGATGTGACGTTGCAGCTACAAGGTCGCTGCCATTTGTCGCTGAAGCTCTACGATCTGAACCATTTACTTTTGTTGCTCTCGCATCATGGCTTTTAAGATGAGATCATTTGCTGAACGATGTCGGCATGTTGTCTTGCCACTTTGATCATGGTTGCGCCTACGCTGACACATTGTCATTAGATGGCTGATGGGCATTCAAGCCGCGAACAAAGAAAAGTCCCAAACGAGGCCAATGCTACAACGAAGCTAATAGCCGACAATGTTTCCTACGACAATTTTCTCTTACGCGCTCTTAATCACCCTAATGACGCCAATTCGGTAGGTCAAAATGCGGAATACCCGGTACCTTAACAAGAAGGAAAACTCAGACTGAATGCGAATCAGGCATAGAAAATGCCTGATTCACATTTAACATCTATCACTGCGCTGTCGATAGGTGCATGGTTGCATAGGTAACGTGGATGCGTTCAGAGACGCTTCACAGATAACTGCAAACAAGTGCTCGCCTCTATTCGAGCATACACATGGAGCGGTTGCTGATGAACGTGATTGGCGTTGGCTGACTGATGAGGTATCAAAAACATGTGCTCGTGCGAAAATGAAGTTTTGTTAGATAAATAATCCCGTTTTAGGAAAAATCTGGCAGCGGCGACGTAAAGACTGCGGAGACTGACGGATAGCCACACACGCGACCCTGAAGACATAGCCATGCAAGATAGAAAGAATTGTGGGTGAGAAAGTGGCCTGCCCGACTGCAATGCGAAGAAACGGCCTAGTCGTTGCTGAATGGTTGGACGGGAAGTGGGACGCAGGACCGGGACTTAACTGCGGAGGAGAAAAGAGATAGCTGGATCGAGGAAGTGTCACCAAATGTAAGTGTTTTTTGCTGTGGGGTTTGCGCTAATAATTGTAGACCGACTGCTATGTGCTTTTATCTGTCTCTTGTCTGACGTAGATTTCCGTTGTGGTGCTTCTTATGAAAATGAAATGGTCGGGTGAGAATTCTTAGCCGCCACATTTGTACTTATAAGCGCTGTCGCCACGCAAGTTTTGAAATGATGTGCGGGTTGTGATTTAAAACGAGCACAAGGGGTTCGCTCGAGCTGTACATACTTCTTTCGAGTGGGCAGAATTATCCGAGCATTGTTTCTCAAACCGCGCGAATTATACTTTTTTCGTCTGTCAGCCGGACTTCGAAGCAAAATAACCTGAATTGAAGATTTAACCAAAATTGAGGAGGCTCACTTACGCAGCGACGTATCGGCAGCATTGTTCTTTATGGAACGGAAGATCAGATGATGATTGTCTTCAGTCATGAATATACTCTACCTGTTGCACAAATCCAACCGCTTAGTAGATCGTGAAATGGTTTTTCTGCTTCGATTTTCGTCTATTTTGCACGCTGCTCCACCTTCACTATTCACTATATATATTCTTGGCACTAATCATGCCAGCCAAGTCGAGTTTCGCAGTCAGCACCAAGAAATCGTGCGTGACTATAAGTTGTTAAAACCTGCAACACGAACACGCCACGGAAAGATTCGCCCGTAGCAGAGCTTCCTGCTACCCTTTTTTAAGTAGCGTATGATCAAAAAGAGCTCCTCATTTTGTAATGCTTTTGCGAAAACTGTCCCGACACAAGCTTGATTCGCACAGTGAAAACAGACTTAATCTGTGAGTTCTACAACCCTCACGTCTTCTACCAACGCTCTGCAACTTCGTGACAGCAGAAGCGCTCGTAAAAGTGATTCGTGTGTAACACGTCGGCTGAGAGGCCAGTCAATTTGTACAATACGTCCAGCCTGTGCATCAGCTTTCACTTTATCCTTAGGCTTCTGTTTAGTGCGACGTCTCTTTAGTAGACCAGCTGGGCTTCACAGCTACCAATTGTCCCTTCTGAAGCCACTTGCAATTCAGAAGCCCTAGAATCCAAATCGAAAGTGAGCGGAGTAAACGACTCTTAATTGTGCGGAATTAAACTGATCATTGCACTTTTTGAGTTCACTTGATGGGGCGTTTCGGTAAAGGAAGCTTAGGCATTCGCGTGGCGGAGGGTGGCGGGGGAATGCTGGTTGCTGCCGCAGACTCTCCTATTGTTAATAGTAATAAATCTTCAAACTTTGAGTTATTTGGTGCAGACAGCGACGACAGTGACGACGATGCGACTATTGATCGCTATGCTAAGAACGGCAAGGTACTTAATACGAGCGAAGCTTCGGAATCCGAAAAGAAAGAAATGGCATTGATTAACTCAAAGGTAAGATGAAAATTGTTTCATCAAAACAATTGATGCGTCACCTCTATCACAGTTAACGCCAGAGGAGCTTTTTGCAAAGTACGACACGGATAAATCAGGCAACATATCTGCTCCCGAATTTCTTGCCATGGTTATGAGTCATACTGCTGCTCAGGACTGTTTGTATTGCTGGAAAGTAACGTTCTTCATTCTTGCAGCTACCGGAAGTGGGAGTTTATCTATCAGCTGCAAAAGCCATGCGGGTATTCCGCCAGTGTGACACGGATGGTGGTGGCGAAATCGATCTCGCAGAATTCAAAATGGCAATGTTTACCGTCGATACTATGTCTCATACTTCGAAGCGCTTCTCTCCATCTTTGCATTTGAGTCCTCGCGATGTATTTGAACTATTTGATGAAGATGGTTCTGGACAAATTGATAATCTTGAATTAGCTGTGCGTACTTTAAGTGCTTCATGTTTGCCAGGTATCGTATATTGACAACAGTGTTGAAAAGGACGTGCTTGAATACCTTGGTATGGATGTGAGCGACGAGAAGCAAGAGATGCTGCTTAAAAAGTATGACAAGGACAAGGACGAAAAAATCAATTACGAAGAGTTTCGGGCTATGTGGGTCAGTCTTGTGAATGTGAAGGAAGAGCTTATGAAGCGTGGAGCTCAAGTGCCAAAACAAATGCGAGCCGAAAAGCTTCAGCAGATGCTAGAAGCAATGATAAATAAAGAGGAATCAGAGGAGGCAATAGCATTCGAAGAAGCTCAGAAATTCTTGCAGCGACAGCGAGTCAAAGAATTCAGAACGCAGTTGGGAGGTAAAGCTATCATTCGTGCTCAGGATGAACTGGCAGCTGCTTTGGACGCAGCAGGGCAAGTGTACGTGTTGGGCCGAGGAAAGTTCAATCGGTTTTGTGGTACGACTTCCACTTGTGACGAAAGATTGGCTCCTGGTTTCACCTTTGTGAGTGAGCTTTGGTCCTCTCGTGTTGAACCAGCCCACCAGAACATTCATGCAAGAATGTCGAAAGCAGCGTCGGGTGATGTAAAACTGAGGAAAGTATTCAGCCGAAGCTCCGAAGTAGCCTCAAAACAACCTCCAGCGATGAGCTTAGCAGCTCACTCTAGCGGTGCTTCAGTAGCTCAGTATGTGCGTCGGAGACCAGAGAATAAGCGATGGACTTATAAAAGTCCTTCCCGGCTGAACAAAACGTCACTATTGCAAACAAAGGTGCATACTAGAGCAATAGAAAACGAACGGGATAAGTCTGATGAACAGAGCACTAGCGATCAGATTGCATCGCTGAAAACTTGCACAGAACAATCTGAAGTCGAAGAAATTACTTGTTTTGATTGCAATCAGAATGAGGAAGAACTTGCTAAAATTCATTTTGACAACCGAGAGTTTGTTCGAAGCCTGAGGTTTCGATCAAGCACTCTGATGTCGAATACAGGACCGTTGTGGGGCCGGGGTGTCGTGCAAGGTGCGATAAGTGACAGCGTCGCTTTCGCTGTAACAGATTCGGGTAGTGTTTACAGCTGGGGGGTGAATAACTCGTCGTATAAGGCGTTGAATCGAAACAATGCCGGCTTATGTGGCAATTTGGAGATGATTCATCAAGCTATTGATATGCAGCATGGATTTACACCACGATCAGCCGTGCAAACATCGTGTACCTTACAGCAGGTAGGCGAAAGAAACTAGTATGATCAGGCTTATCCAATACTTGAAAAGTCCCGGTTGGCTGACGTTAACATTTGAGAAGGAAGCTTTTAACGAAATTAAACTTTTTCAAAATGAGGAATATCGACTTTCTGAAAGGCACGTCGTCTAACAATTGAAAAATATTAGTCAGCTCTAGCTAACACTCAATAACTTGTGGAGTGAATGAAGGCTTGAGCGAGTTAGCCGTTATTACGACGTATGGGAACCTCCTCCCAATGGTGGGACTCGAATGCTGTATCTCAATCAAGTTTTATTACCAAAAATCGCGTACGAACACCTTGTCATTTCAAGTCAATTTCGTGGTCTCGAGTGTGAGCAAAACTCTAAAATGGACTTAATTCTCGCACTTGGTGAATGCTTTGAGTTGGAGATTGAATTAAAAGGCGAAGAGGGACACGCTGCTCTTAAAGAAGCAGAGAAAATGTTCCGGGTACTTATATTCATGATTCAATGATGTGTTTTTAAGTTGCGTTCGTAATATTGGTATGATGGAGGACAACGACCAGAAAAATAAAGTCATTATGCCTCAAACGGTACACGATTTCTTGACGATTAAGACAGAATGCACGCTGACTGAGGATGAAAACTCTGTATGATTAGGAAAGAAGTGAAATATTTGAAAAGGTGGCGCCAAAAGTAAATCAGCTTTTTGTTCGTGTTACATATGCTGAACTGACATTCCTGTAGTGGCAAAATGTCAAAACATTGCGAAGGGAAAGATACGCACGATGCGAAAAGGAGGCAAAAAAGTTTGAGAATCAAAGCTACTCAGTAAGTTATCGTACTCTTTCAAACATTGCATGTGATTTCATGTGTACTCTTTCAAACATTGCATGTGATTTCATGTGCTACAGAAACTTGGTGGCGAATGTCGGGCTGCACCGTGCATTGTGCGATTGGAGGGCACAATTGTCCAGTCTACCGCTCGAGGCAACAAATTACCGAGAGGAGTGACTGCAAGGTGAAAAATTACAGTTTACTCTGGGATTATAAAAGTCTGATCTTTAGCTCACACGCAGTGGCTTGCCGTTAACTTCCCCCCGTAACAGTTTAGTAAGTACCTAGTACAAGTTTTTTTTTTAATATGTGTAACGATCATTTCGCTATCGCAGCCCGTCGCAAATGTATCAACTGGAGGCTCTCATTTAGCGTTGTTGACTCAAGCCGGGTGCACATTTTTGACGTCATCCAAATTGTGCAGTAAATTATTCGTGTCTCATTTGTCAATGCAATTATTTTGCAGGTCGCTTTACACGTGTGGAATTGGCACCAGCGGACGTCTCGGTCTTCAGCCGAATGAACAAGGAGTGAGTTGCTATGACACAATCCACCCGCACCGTGTGGAAGCATTTGATGTACGATAAAAGTTTCACATTTCAGCCGAGACGATAAATAAGATTCACGAGCCGTTGCTTGCTGTTCTGAAGGGCTTAACAGTGTGTCAGGTCTCATGCTCGTTTTCACACAGCGCAGCTATCGATTCGAAAGGCTTTCTATACACTTGGGGATCCGCTAGCACAGGAGAGCTGGGAGTCGGTATTGCTGAGGACAGATATAAGCAGTACTCATCAACGCCTTTACTCGTCAAATTTTCCGGAAAACGTAGTATTCGATCTGTATCATGTGGAGCTTCACATACTGGGGCAGTCTCTACAGCAGGAGAATTATTTATGTGGGGCTCAGCAAATGGAGGTCGTCTTGGTCTTGGTTCGCATGTGAGAGACTGCGTCGTTGTGCCCACATTGGTAAAAGAACTCATGATGAAAAAAATTCGGGTTTGGCAAGTGTCATGCGGAGTAGCACATTCGGCATTCTGTACTGAAATCACGTCCGAATTTAGCGAAGGAAGAAATAAATTGCTCGGTGGTCAGGTTTACGTTTGCGGAGGTGCGACTGCACTTAATCGGTATGTGCTGTCGTGGGAACAGATTCCAGACTTTACATGTATTAGCGTTTGTCAAGTGGCGTGTGGTGGTAGTCATACTGCTGCTGTATCTTCTTATGGGGAGCTTTATACGTGGGGCCGAAATTCTCATGGCTGCACAGGCCACAATGCAAACGTAAGTTACTAAATGTCAATTTTGACTGCTAACTTTCCTATGTGCATGTTACTGGATGTAGCGTCTATTCATTGAGAAGCCAGAGCTACTTAAATGCTTACATGTAGCTCCCTATAACCTTGCATTAGGAAAGCCGAGTCGTCAAATTTCCATTTACAATGAGCAAGGACCGAATCTAGCAGTCAATGGGAAAACAGAGGGTGCATTGGCGGTTTGTATCCACACTCAAGTACAACTTGAAGCTTCTAGTGTCTGGCAGGTGTTTTATTTAGTCATATTGCATTCGCTTTATTTAGATGGAAGACAATCCGTGGTGGGAAGTAGACCTTGGACAACTTGCTGTCATCGAAAAAATTCGGGTAATTCGACATTCCTCGTAGTGTCACAATCCATTATCTGATTTGTTCTTGCTTACGGTATAGTTGTGGAATCGGACGGATGAGCCCTCAAATCCATCAAAGAAAGAATCCGAGTATAGCGGTCGATTATTTCCGTGTTGGATATTTGTGAGTGAGGTAGCATTTAAAAAGCTTGATGGCAAGGAAGGGTATGTGACTGTATCTCTTTCTTGGATTTTCGAACGTAGTTTGCCTAACATCATAACATTTAGTTTGCGAGCAGCAAAACTTCAGTCAAATGCATTCGAGTTGTTTCACACCAACAAACGAATGACAGAATGGATTATTCCATCAACAAATACAGTTGGTCAATTCGTTCGAGTGCAACTGCAAAATAAGAATTTTCTCCATATCGCTGAAGTGGAGGTGTTTGGAATCTTTTCTGCCTTCAATTTTGTAGGCAAGGTCGGCACGGTGCAATGCAGTACAGACGCCACACTTGTTATCATGCCACCAATCTCCACCCAAAGGTTCGGTTTGAGGCATACCTTCGATGCCGAGGACTCGTCTGACGCTACTTTCTAGTGTGCTGGACGACTACTATCTCCGCGCCATTCAAGCTGATGCTGACAATGCAAAAATTTTGTGCCACTTTAAAGCCTACGAGCGGTCATTCCGCAAATTTGGTTGTAACATTCCGGAGACATTTGGCAGCACATGTAGACTTTGTCGCGTCTTCCGTAAATGCGAGATCTGCGAGTTCTACGCTTTGATCGAGAATAATTACCACGGTAGTCAAAAGCAGACGTTCTCTTCTCAGCACGTTGGCGATCGCTTGGGACTCAAAGTGCGGGTTTTACACTATACGAATGTCGTATTATCTCACCAAACATTATTTCTTTGCGCGCAGGAATTTATCAATAAAGCGTTGGCGGAAGAAACACTACATGCAGAACAACCGCAACAGCTTTGCGAGGAAAAAGAAGTTGCGAAAACAGTCCTTCAAGCAGAAAATGATCGACAGCACGAACAAGATTCAACGCGCACCAAGCGACAGATTCGGCTGCTTAAGTCATTGCAGAATTTTAGTCTCCGTACCAAAAATCAATAAATTATGAGGTGTTTGTTTTTTCATCGAAAGTGAGATTTTCGTTCACGACGTCGCAGAAAAGGGCATCCTATTAAAACGCATTAAAAAAGGCGGGAACTGGTCATTTTTGAAACAAACTTTTGATTGGGGAAGTCTCTAGCTGGTAATCATGTTGCTCAACGGCTTGCGCTACAAGGCTCGAACGAACGGTGGCTCGTCGCAGGCGTCGGGTGGTAGCGTGTCCAGCGGCACCAAAAAGCAGCGCTCGATTCATGATTTCTTCACACAATCGTCGGTCGGGAACAAGCGTGTAGGTGGTAAGCTGCATAAGGTCCGGCGGTCATTGGAAGCGTCAGCAAAAGGCAAGAGCTTTGACTCCACAGTTTTGCAAGACGGTGAAGATAATTCGGTTTCAGTGCAAAAACGCATCGATTATGACGTGATGGACGACGAGAGCAGCGAAGAACCCATTTTCTTTGTCTCTCAAAGTAGTGACAGCGGTCCGCGTAGACACAGACCCATAAAAATTGATTTCACGGGTTGCTCTAGTCAACGTAGTGAACCCGACCTTGAGCCTACGCACACACCCGTGCGCTTTGGCCCGCCATCTACAAAACAAGGTTACTACACGCCTGGGAGGGCAACGCCTTTGCAGCAGTCTAGTCAAGACGACATGGACTTCCTTACGCCCCGAGACCAGCCGGTTATTCCGTTGTCAAATCCGACGACGCCATCACCATTGAAAAAGAGATCGAGGCTTAACGAGGAAGTGGATGTTATTCAAGAAGAAAAAGTGCAAAATCTCACGCAGGAAATGGATTACATGGAAATGAGGCACGCCACAAAGGGGTTTCCATGTTTAAACAGTCAGACTTCTATAGACATGCAATCAACAAAAGGTCATGAGATAGCCAATGCAAAGAGACCAAAAAATGGGTGAGGAGGCTTTGTTTTTGCTGGTTAGAAAGGGATATCGCTCACTTTAGTGTTTGGCCTAAAATTGATGAGCTGTAGAGACCAGACTGCGCCATTTCTGTCTGAGGAATGTTACGTGAATCCATTTGCACCGAGGCCAATGACTGAGTCGGGGAAGAAAAAAGTTTTACGACGCAAACGACGGTCTTATCCGTCAGCGTGGACTGGAACGAAAAATGGCTCACCTATTTCCAGATATCTGACAGATTTCTCTGAAGTGGGGGTGAGCAAACTGTTGCTTGCAAGCGACAAAGTTAATGATCTCAATGCTTTTGTTACGTATGACAGTTGATAGGCTCAGGCACTTTTTCTAAAGTATATAAGTGCATGAAGAAGATCGATGGGTGGATATATGCTGTGAAGAAACGCAAACGACACTTTCGGGGAAAGGCAGACACGTACGTTAAGATGTGGTGTTTGATTAGATGTGCACATAACATTGCTTTGAATATTGCAGTGAGAGAGCTTTACGTGAAGTACAAGCTCTCGCCGCAATGAGCAGTAGTAATCACGTGGTTCGATATTTTGACGCTTGGATAGAAAACGATTTGCTTTACATTCAGCTAGAAAATTTAGAGGGCTGTTCGCTTGCTGGCTTCGTCAACAAATTTGCACCGCACAAAGTACCAGAAGAAACGCTGTGCAAGCTTTTGTGTCATATTGCGCAGGTAAGGTGCAGTCGATGAAGACCATAGTGGCGATCGATAACACGCACATTAGGCTCTATACGATATGCACAGCAAAAAAATGGTTCACATGGATGTTAAGCTACAGAATGTTCTGGTCGGTCCAGGCGAAGTGTATAAGGTTAGTTTTGTATGAGCTTGCGGCTCAACTTTCGTCATGCGCTAACCTATGTCTTATATTAGCTTGGCGACTTGGGGACTGTTGCGCATTTGGATGGCAGTATGGATATCACAGAAGGCGATAATCGGTATTTAAGTCGGTAAGTGCACCAGTGAAGTCATAATGCACAATGTGCAACAAATCTGAATTCAATTGTAGGGAACTGCTTGAAGGCAATCGAAATAATTTACGCGCTGGTGACATCTTCGCTTTAGGGGCTACAATTTATGAGCTTGCGCTGGGAACAACACTTGCTAGTTGTGGCGAAGAATGGCAAAAGATCCGCGATGGAGATCTAGTGATGTTTCGGTACGTCTCTTGTCATTATCAAACGATATCCATCTACATGGCCTCGAAAATATTTCTGCTTTTGACCGCAGGCATTACTCCAACTCTTTGCAGCATCTGATTGCTACCATGTTGCACCCTGACGCACTGCAGCGTCCTCTTGCCGAAGATATTTTGCAGCACGAAGTCGTGCATCCATTTCGGTAAATAACTACTTTAAGTATATATAACTTAGAATCTTTGCATGTTGGTATACTTTTCCATTCATCGGGTTTTGGGAGGGCCTAGGTCTCGTCTTGTAAACATAAAAGCCTCTGAGTGTAATTTTATCTGAAATGGTTATTCTTCCGTAATAATTCATTGTTTCGCCTTTTGTGCTAAAGCCACTCGCTTTGCGAGTGTCACTTAATCCTTTCTGACACGACCACACAGACATCATTTTAATCCATTCTCTGCGAGAGGTGAGGCGACTGAGTCGCAGAGCGTATGGCTGTTATAATTTTTTTATGACAATAATGTTTTACATGTGTAAAATACCATCCTACTTTCATTTTCTGCATCATTTCTACCAAACATTAACCAGATTAAATGCTGACCCAATGGAACGAATTGAAGGGGCAGTGTCTACTCCATGGGTGCAGGTCATTATTCGTTCGGCTTGCTAAGATTTAACGTTCTCGAATGCTGGATAGCAGTCTTCATTTTTATGCTCTGTGCTTAAGCTGAACACATTGAAAACAAGTCAGTGTGAGAGATTGGCGTGTGGTGAGCAACGAAATGTTATTTGCCGTTTGTCTTTTTAGAACAAAGCTCTTCTATATCCCATTGATCTTCTGATATATCCCATTGTGCTTGCGCAATAATATATATATATTATCAAGTCGCTCAATTAAATTGAATGGATCATCACAAGCTGCAATTGCCGCATACAATTCCTCGCCAATTTATATGCCTCTGGAATGGGAGTGATTGGAAACACGGTAAACTGCCAGACTATATCTGCGTCTCAATTATACAAAATGTCCTTAAGCTTTGCGTAAGCACGTAATAAAATATATATAATGCATGATATGTGAGTGCTGAATTGTAGTAACAAAAGTTAAAGGCTGCAAGTCCCGTTACAGCAGTAAAATTGCGTCGTTATGATGTATGTAAAACTGATAGTTAGCATACTTTTGATCATTTGAAAAGCGATACATGTTGTTACAATAAACTGTAAAGCTATAGATCTATAAAATAGCATCGTTTAAAACCAGGTTACGAGACGGTTAATTTGTCTTGAAAAATATAGTAAATCGCTCAGCTCATTAAAGCATAAAGTAGAACAAAAACAATGACATAAAAATCTATCTTATCAGCCATCTTTAGTTTTGATAATTCATTTATATAGTATGCGAAAAGATGGTTTGCGAATTTACGACTATTATAATTTGAGAGGCAATAGTATTGAGTCTGATGGTCACCATAATTTATGAGAAGCGATATCTGAAAAGCGAGTCATTCGAGTCAGAATAGATGAATATCTGAAATTTACCAAATAAGTGCGTTCCTCATTCAGAGGTACTCGGCTTGCGTTTGTTGAAGACATCACGGGTTCATATAAGCTCGCTTTTTGGTACCACAAGAAATCACAATAAATCGGTACCGCGCTCGACTTTGAGGTGCGCATTCGTTTCGGAAGGTTCAGCGTGTACGCCAGCCCCCATTTGGCCACAACGTTAAACGGTCCGATAACCCGTGGACGAAGCTTAGTCCGGAAGATTGCAGAGGCTGCATGTGTAGACAGGTTTTTTGAATTCAATAAAACCAGGTACCTGGCCTTGAAGCTTTCCACTTTGCCTCTTCCATTTTCATCTGCATATTGTTTTTGCAGGTCTTGGCTTTCAGCCATGGCATCGCGGACGTGTCGTAGTACACTCAGTCTGGTAGACAAGAAGTCATCGACTTCTGTACGGATGGTGAGGGGGCCGACATCAGTTAGCCTTCGGCGATTCCTCCCCCGCCAAGTCTTGAGCCGTGGGTTGCGGCGTCAGCGGTACGCGAGGGTGAATCAGCTCGTTCACGTAGAACGGCGTGTAGCCGGTAGACGAATGCA